TCCTATAATTTGTTGTTGGGAAGCCCTTAGATACATAGTAATGGTGTCATTCCATCGACTCTTCATCAGTGCTTCAAATTCTACAAGAATGGCATACAAACAGTTGTGGCGGACCATAAACTATTTACAGAATCAGAATCTCATTTTGCTGATGCCAAGTTCTATATCGATCATGATACACCTTCAGAAGTGCCCATCCTAAGTCATCCATCTACACAAATAGGTCAATCTACAAAAACAAAAGGAGCGTTAAGTGATCCATTAGATGTTTCAGTGAAAGACATTGTAAAGGTAGCTAAAACGAGAAGGGTCTCGATAAAAACACATCGTACGAAACTTATTTTAAAGTATGTTCCAAAATCTCAACGACAAGAAGGGCAGTCACCTGTCATTGAGATACTTGAAACTAAGGAATTTAAATTGAAGATGTCACAAACCAAAGAAAAAAAAAGATGTGCAAAAGCTGAAAAGAGAGTTAACTCTTCCTCTCACCAAGATTCAAAAGTCTTCACCTTCCAAGCCTCCGTTAAAAGGGTTCATGCAGTCTTCTCAATCTCTGGTCAATCATGGATCACTCCAAAACAAAGGACTGATGAAGGATTCGATCCTAAAGCATACCAACTCATGGCTAAGTCGGGGTATGATTTTACAAATCCTGCAAACCTTGGAAAACTGAATTCAGAGGTCACCAGTGAGAAAATGCATGGCCTCAATGAGACACAGAAAAAGTTGAAAGATCAAGGGCATAAAATCATTCCACCCAAGTTTGGTATCGGTTTCGTACCTTCTGAGCCACTTCGAATTCATATCACAAAAAAGGATAAGAAGTCAAACACTTTTTACATTGGGTTTGAAGAAGTCAAAGATGAACAAGACCAACAGACTATGCATCAAAAATCAGTCTTCGACCGTATAGGAGCTCAATGTGATTGAGCATCTGTATTCAACAGGTTGTCAAGCCAAAAATCAAATGTCTCAAGTTCTCATGTCAACAGTTTGCCTCGTACCTTTGTTTTTAATAGAATGAGCTTTTATGACCAAGGAAGAAAATCTTCACAACCACAATCTCGAAAGTCAGTATTTAATCGGATTTGTACTATTAATGATGCACCACTAAGAAGCAGCAAGAGTGGAAAGTCAGAGAAAACTAACATCGACGTGGTGAACAATAGTAAAGTTCAGAGCTTAGTGCCCTTGCAAATGAAACGTAAGACAGAGGTAGATGTCACCAATGATGTTACATTAAAAGCTCGAAGGCGAACCGTTATATTCACTAATCAAGCAAAAGAAGTGGATAAAACAGAAGACATTGACGAATCATCTTATGTTACTTCATACCACATCACTGTTGAAGAGGAACCTGACTCTGAACAACCAGATAACATCGAGAAAGCTCCACCAACACTAGAAGATGGGGGGCAGGCTACCATTGATCAACTCAAAGAAATCAACTTAGGGATTGATGATCAACCCAGGCCAGTTTTCATTAGTGCATTCCTAAGCCCCTTAGAAGAAAATGATTACTTTCAATTGTTGTCTGAGTACAAGGATGTCTTTACTTGGATATACAAAGAGATGCCCGGTCTTGACCCTAAAATTGCAGTGCATAATCTTGCTATCAAACATGGGACACGTCTGATTAAGCAGTCTCAACGTTTCTTCCGTACAGAGATAATTTCGAGGATAGAATAAGAACTTAACAAATTGATTGAAGTAGGGTTTATTCGTGAGGTTAAATATCCAACATGGATTTCGAGCATTGTTCCAGTGAAGAAAAAAAATGGACAGATTCGAATTTGTGTGGACTTTCATGATTTGAATGAGGCATGCCCAAAAGATGATTTTCCTCTTCCCATCCCCTAACTCACTGTAGATGCAACCATAGGGCATGAAGCTCTCTCGTTCATGGATTGTTACTCCAGGTACAATCAGATAAGAATGACTCCGAAAGATGAAGAACTAATTGCCTTTCGCACTCCTAAAGGCATATATTGTTACAAAGTTATGCCTTTCGGACTAAAAAATGCGGGAGTAACATACTAGCGCGCCATGCAAAGGATCTTTGACGACATACTCCACAAGATTGTTGAATGTTATGTTGATAACTTGGTGGTTAAGACGAAAGAATGAAGGGATCATTTACAAGATCTACGTATAGTTTTTAATCGCTTCCGAAAATTTCAACTTAAGATGAATCCTTTTAAATGTGCATTTGGTGTGACTTCATGGAAATTCCTGAGATACGTTGTACGTCATCGTAGTATTGAGATTGATCCTAATAAAGTGGATGTCATTCAAAAGATGCCGCCACCAAAGAATTTACACGAGCTTCGAAGTTTACAAGGTCAACTTGCGTTCATTCGTAGGTTCATCTCAAATTTGGCTGGCCGTTGTCAGCCTTTTAACCGACTCATGAAGAAAGATGCCCCATTCATCTGGGACCAATCTTGCCAAAATGCTTTTGATAGCATCAAAAAGTATCTTCTCAATTCTCCGGTATTGGGAGCACCTCTACCTGGAAAGCCGCTCATACTTTACATTGTTGCGCAAGAAGAATCGTTGGGTGCCTTACTTGCTCAGAATAATGAAGAATATAAAGAAAAAAGCATTGTATTACTTAAGTTGTAGACTCACCCCGACAGAGTGAAATTATCCTCCAATTGAAAAAACATTCCTCGCACTTGTCTTCGCCTCTAAGAAATTGAGACATTATTTCTTGGCTCATACGATACATCTTGTTGCAAGGGCTGATCCTCTCAAATATGTTATGCCTAAACCAGTCCTTTTCGGACGCTTGGCGAAGTGGTTAATTTTGTTCAACGAATTTGAAATTGTTTATGTGCCACGAAAAGCAGTGACAGGACAAGTCCTGGCAGATTTCTTAGCTAACCATCATATTCCAGTCAATTGGAAAATTTCTAAAGATTTTCCTGATTAAGAAGTCTTCCTTGTGGACATCCTCCCTCCATTGATGATGTTTTTCTATGGGGCAGCACGAGCAGGCGGGGACGGAGCAGGAGTAATGTTTGTCTCTCCAAAAGGACATGTTATTCCATACTCTTTTGCACTCACTGAAAACTGCTCAAATAATGTAGCTGAATATCAAGCCCTGATCATCGGCCTTTAAATGGCAAATGAGATGAAGATCATGGATCTCAAAATATATGGAGACTCTAAGTTGGTGATTAACCAACTTCTTAAAAAATATGAAGTTAAGAAAGATGATCTAGTGTCGTACCATCGTTATGCCTCTCATTTGTTAGAACGGTTTGATAGCGTTATGCTAGAACATATTCTGAGGAAAGAAAATCGGATAGCAGATGCTTTGGCAAATTTAGCTACAACATTGGCGTTAACTGATGAGGACTTGGTTGATGTTCCTGTATGTCAACGATGGGTCTTGCCACAAGTCTTGGAAGATATATTTGAAAGAAGTAATTTGGTTTCTTGCTGGACACAAGAGGAAGAAGATTGGAGGCTCCCTATCATTGATTATCTGGAACATGGAAAGCTTTCCGAAAACCTACGCCATAAGACTGAAATACGAAGACGAGCACCTCATTTTATCTATTACAACGATACGTTGTATGGACGTTCATATGAGGGTCTTTTCCTTCGCTGCCTTGGAAATGATGAGTAACCCATGCAATGAAGGAGGCACATTCTGGGATTTGTAAAGCCCATTAATCCGGTCCAAAGCTTCACTTTCGTGTCAAAAGAATGGGTTATTATTAGCCCACCATGGTCAAGGACTGCATAGAGTATGCGAAGAGGTGTCAAGCCTGTCAATTATATGCTAACTTCATATACTAACCACTTGAACCATTACACCGTACTGTGACGTCATGGCCATTTGATGCATGGAGATTAGATGTAGTTGGTCCTCTAAACAAGTCTTCAAAGGGCCACTTGTATATCTTGGTTGCCACTGATTATTTTTCTAAATGGTCGGAAGCTGTACCCTATAAACATGTGCAAAAGGAAACAGTTGTTGATTTCATCAAGTCTAACATTATTTATCGATATGGTGTCCCTCGATACATCATCACTGATAATGGGACAAATTTCAAAAACAGTTGGATAACTGACCTTTGTGAGAAGTTTGGCTTCAAACAACATAAATCATCCATGTACAATGCCACGCAAATGGTCTCGCGGAAGAATTCAATAAAACTCTTTGTGAGTTATTGAAGAAAATAGTCAACCAGACCAAGAGAGATTAGCATGAGCAAATGGAAGAAGCATTGTGGGCATACCGCACTACGCATCGTACACCTACTCAAGCAACTCCATATTCTCTTGTCTATAGCATGGAAGCGGTTCTTCTATTGGAACAACAGATCCCTTCATTAAGGATAGCCATACAAGAAGGTCTTACAAGTGAAGAAAATGTCATCTTACGTCTTCAAGAACTGGAAGCATTAGATGGAAAGAGATTAGAAGCTTAACAACAACTAGAGTGTTATCAAGCTCGACTTTCGAAAGTATTTAAGAAGAAAGTTCGATCTCGATCATTTCAAGTTCGAGAATTAGTATTAGTTATTCGTAAACTAATTGTTATGAATTGCAAGGGAAATAAATTTGTATCCAAATGGGATGGACCATATGTTGTTCGTGAAGTTTATACTAACGGCGCATATCTTTATTGATGAAGACGGAGTAAGAGTGGAGCCCATTAATGGCAAGTTCCTGAAGTGCTACTACCCATGAAGGCAATACTCCTGATCGTATGAGCTTAAACTGCACTATGCTCCTGATCGTATGAGCTTAAACTACACTATGTTCCTGGCCCGCATGAGCTAAAACTGTGTACGGCCCGAATTAAAAAAAAAGAAGAAGTTATTTTTAACCGAACTATGTCATTGACTTGATCCCTATAAAGGTACGTAGGCATTGGAGGTTTGTTCCAAGTTCAATCATCCATGAAAAAAAAAAAAAAAAAAAAAAAAAAAAATTCTTACTATACTCATGGCCCGCAAGAGTTTAAACTGTGAACGACGGAATAAATAAAACTCTTGATGCTTTTATTAATCGAAATGAAAATTTGTAAGAGTTTACTCAAATACACGAGAATGATAAATATGCTCCTTGATATGAGTCTAAACTATCTTCAAATTAAAAGCCAATCCATGTCAAACTCAAGCTTGAACTACATAAGGCTTCCCAAATCAAAATAGGTAAAGCTCTATCTTCGAGACAGATATGCACAAGCACACTTGCGTAACTCGGTAACTTCTTGTGAAGTTGTTACTGATGTCTGGTGCATGAGTAAACTTGTACACTGAGTCAAATCTTTTGGTGGAGCTTCGGCTTGAAATCATCATCAAACTGATAATGGCAAAAGATACTGGTGGTATGACCTCTTGGAGTTTGTTCTTACTCTCTGAATGGTTTTTGTCTGATCTGTGGCGAATGAAGGCTAATAGACTGCATCTACATCTGTCGTTGCTATCTGGATTGATTTATGGCTGCTGACGACACTGTCTGTGTTGGTCGTATGACCTCTCGAAGTTTGGTCTCGCTCCATCAATGGCTGTTGGATAATCCATGGCTGATGAAGACGTTCTTGCGGCAGGTATTGACAACATTGTCTGAGCTAATGGTAAAACCTCTTTCCATCTACATTTGTCGTTGCTATCGGGATTGATTCATGGCTGCTGACAACACTGTCTGTGCTGGTCGCATGACCTCTCGGAGTTTGGTCTCGCTTTATCAATGGTTATTGGATGATCCATGGTTGATAAAGACGTTCTGGCGGTGGGTGTTGACAACGTTGTCTGAGCTAGTGGTAAAACCTCTCTCCATCTGCATCTGTTGTTGTTATCTAGATTGATTCATGACTGCTGACGACACTATTTGTGCTGATCGCATGACCTCTCGGAGTTTGGTCTCGCTCCATCAATGGCTGTTGGATAATCCATGGTTGATGAAGACGTTCTGGCGGCGGGTGTTGACAACGTTGTCTAAACTAGTGGTAAAACCTCTCTCCACCTGCATCTGTCGTTGCTATCTAGATTGATTCATGGCTGCTGATGACACTATCTGTGCTGGACGCATGACCTCTCGGAGTTTGGCCTCGCTCTATCAATGGCTATTGGATGATCTATGGCTGATGAAGACGCTCTGGCAACGGGTGTTGACAATGTTGTCTAAGCTGTTGGTAAAGCTTCCCTAGGTCTACATATCTCGTTGCTCTCCGAGTTGATTTCGTGGCTGTTGACGACATTGTCTGTGTTGGTGGCATGACCTCTTAGAATCTGTTCTCGCGCCAAAATGGTGATAGTATAGGGCTTGAAACTCTTGAAAAATACCATTGTTGACTAGCAGCCCCTGAAAAAAAGAAAAAAAAAAAAGGTGTTAGCACTTGAAAAATAAAATAAAAATAAATAAATAAATAAATCAAAAGTGTGAATTGGCATGCATGGAAGATTTTGGTTCCGAAGGAACAATGGATCCTTACGGACTCGTTGCGTTCCGAATGAACAATAAGTCCTTACGGACTAAATGCGTTCCGAAGGAACAATGGATCCTTACGGACTAGTTGCGTTCTGAAGGAACAATGGGTCCTAGAGGGACTAACAGAGAAATATATATATAAATAGTAATAAAAAAGGAAATTCTTCCAACAAGCATGAAAAAAATAAAATAAAATAAAAATTCTTTCTCTAACAAGCGTGGAGAGAAAAAATAAAATAAAATAAAAAATTTTGCTCTAGTAAGCGTGGAGAGAGAAGGGGGAAAAAAAAAAAAAAATTCATTCTCCAGTAAGCGTGGAAGAGAGAAAAAAAAAAAAAAAAAGAAAAAAAAAAAAAAAGAAGACAGTCATACCAATTATTTGTTAGAGCAGAGGTCGCAATCCAACACAGTCTTAAAAATTGTGATCTGACAAGTCTTCAAAGATTATTAGAATTGATGTCAAACCATACAATATTGAGGGTATATATAGGCAACAAAATACCTCCAAGTTGTTTTGGGATTTGGATAATTTTGTTCAAATAGAAAAGTAAAATTCCAATCCAAAGTTAGATAGGAAAGCAAAAGAGGAAATCTTACAATCCAAAGTTAGATAGGAAAGTGAAAAAAAAAAAAAAAAAAAGAAGAAGAAGAATAAATCCTATTAATTTTGGAACTCGAAGTGGGGGAGCTTTGTAGACACTAAAATTTAGTGAGTTTTGATTTTAACAAATGGACCCATTAAATATGGGCCTAATGTTTAATTAAGTTATTTAATTGGTGTTGGCTTGATCCACTTAAATTATTTAATTAACACAGCCTAGAAAAAGATAATTATTCCTAATAAAATATATTTAGAATAATTAATTTTAAGGATAATTATCATAATATAACCGGCCCGGTCCAATTATGATTTTTTTTTTTATATTTTTTATTTTTTATCCTGAGATGACAAGTGTCATCATCCTATTAATCTAAGAAGTCTATAAATAGAGGCTTGGAGGAAGAAAAAAGGGGACACAAATTCAGAGTCCAGAAATCCAGAGATTCAGAATTCAGAAGTCCAGAGACTCAGAAATCCAGAAAGTCAGAAGTCAGAGACACAAATTCAGAATCCAAACCTAAAAGCGAAGAACATCAAGCACATCCAACAACGTGCCGTTCTTCATCAAATCCCATGGTGATCAAGAACAAGCACATCCAACGACGTGCCGTTCTTCATTAAATTCCACGGTGATTCAAGAACAAGTTCGTACAGCCCTTAAATCCAACCAACAACAAAAAGGAGATTGAATCAGAGGACCATTCTTTTTGTAAAAGATATTACAAAGAATTATACTCCAAATATTTCTGATTTAATAAATTATTATTTTGCCCATATTTTGTCTTTATTTGCAGAGAACAAAATTTGTGTATACAAATTTCATTCTCCAGCAAGCGTGAAAAAAAAAAAAAAAAAAAAAAAAAAAATGAAGAAGAAGAAAAAAAAGAAGGGAAAAAAAAAATACCAATTATTTGTGTTCAAGCAGAGGCTGCAATCCAACAGTCTTCAAAAGTTGTGATCTGACAAGTCTTTAGAGATTATTGGAATGGATGTCAAACCTTACAATATTGAGGGTATATATAGGCAATAAGATACCTCCAAGTTGTATTGGGATTTGGACAATTCAATTCAAATAGGAAAGTCAAATTCCAATCCAAAATTGATAAAAAAAAAAAAAAAAAAAAAAAAAAAAAAAAAAAAAAAAAATTGGATACTTCAAGTCCCACTTAAAAAATGAGATAAGTCCTGTTAATCTTGAGACTCGAAGTGGGGGCAATTTGTAGATACTAAAATTTAGTGGGCTTTGGTTTTAACAAATGGACCCATTAAATATAGGCCTAATGTTTAATTAAGTTATTTAATTGGTCAAGACTCGGTCCGCTTAAATTATTTAATTAACCCAGCCTAGATGATTAAATGAAAAGATAATATTCCTAATGAAATATATTTGGAATAATTATTTTTAAGAATAATTATCATAATATAACCGGCGCGATCCAATTATAATTTTATCCTTATCAGGAGATGACACATATCATCATCCCATTAATCCAAAAAGCCTATAAATAGAGGCCTGAAAGAAGGAAAAAGGGGTACACAAATTCAGAGGAGACTCAGAAATTCATAGACTTAGAAGTCAGAGACACAAATTCAGAATCTAAACCCAAAAGCGAAGAACATCAAGCATCAAATCCCACATCCCACAGTGATTAACAATAAGCACATCCAACGTCGTGCCGTTCTTCATCAAATTCTAAGGTCATTCACAAAGGATTGTATTCCAAATATTCCTGATTTAATAAATTATTATTTTACCTATATTTTGTCTTTATTTGCAAAGAACAAAATTTGTGTGTGCACTGGTTAATACGGTATGATTATTAGTTATAAACTAATTCAAAAACTCGCAAAGCTAAGTATATATATATAAATAAGATTGAATAATCTATGTAGATTTATGATGAAAACGATGGAGATTGAAGAACTTGTCAAATTGAAGGGCGCACGGCGGGAGGTTATAATTTTATTAGTGGAGATTCAAGGTTATTTAACTGGTTTTTACCTAAAAATAAAAAAATTTCTATGAAAAGGCAACATTTACAAGCTACAATTCCCAGTAAAAAACTATAAATAATTGACAATTTATGGTCAATGAAAAAAAACGCTTTTGCTCAATCAATTCAAATTTGACAAATATCTCAAATCTTTGGAATGATAATTAAAAAAACTGCCCTCGTACAGTAATTACTACTATTCTTCTATTTAATAATCATTTTGTTTTTAAGAATTCAAAAGTGGGCTGGGCTTACATATATATGTTTCACCGAAACGACTTTAATGTGGCCCAAAGGAAAGGATAGCAGCCCAATTTTTATATCCCTAAAATAAAAAATTCTCAATTATAATTATATATATTTTAAAAATATTATCATCTCATCTGCTAAAAAAACAAATCCTTTCAAAATTATTCTTGCTAGTTGCTATCATTGGTCCTTGTCTTCCACCATTGGTTCGGCCGTCACGGCTATTATCAATCATTAATCCTACAAGTTTTTTTTAAGGGGATTATTACTAATACATGGGCTTAAGGCCCAAATGTTACTCTAAAATAGAAACGAGGTCTTGATTTTCACTAAAGGATTGACCTAGAAAATATTTCTTTAAAATAGATTCCACTTTATGCTTTATACCACAAAAGAACTTATATTACTAAAATGACCCAAAGTAATATTTTAATATAATAAAAAGCCTTAGATCATGAAATAAAATTACAGCAATGTTTTTGAACAAAATATTTAATATTTTTTCTTTTCTTTTTAATTTTTTAAGGTAAATTAAAATTATACAGTAACTTAATAAAGACTTATAGACTTCTTTAGACAAAATATCGCATATATAAATTAAATTTAACGAAATAGTATAATTCTGATACCAAAATTGGGATGGATCTAACCGGATAGAAGCATGCAAAATAACATAGAATCAATTTAACAATTAAATCACAGAAATGACTGTCGAACCTGATAATGCTCTGATAACGCCCTGTAGAAACGCCTGAACTCCGGCAAAGAACGGGTCAACAAGCCAACAGTTCGAGTCAACTCACAAAAGAAATTGATAAATTAAAACGAAGACTCCTTGTACTGGTTGGATTCAAGAAAATTCTAGGATCTACACTGTTTTGCTAAATAAAATCTATATATTTGATCTATTTGTCGACAGAAGTCTTTTGCCCGAAGGTACTGAAAATATTAAATAAGGAAAAGAAATTTGTTGAACAGGAGCAAACTGGATTATTTATTTCATGGAAAATATATACATAGATACACACTGTTTATACATGGATACACTCTCACACTATATGTTACAAAGGAAATATATTGAAGGAAGTCACAAAAGAAAACACACTGGAAACTGAAGGCTGGGATGTTTGATGGTTCGAGACTTGTTTGTTCTAAAACTCGATGATCTTTACTTGAGCAGAGAGGCTCCTTTTATAGCAGAAGAGGGGGATGAATCGGTGGTTGAGCTTGAAGATGCTGCATGGATGGTTGAGATTCAAGATGCTTTAGAGATAAGATGACATGAATTATTGCTGAACTGTTGATGGCTTCTTCTGGAGAATTATATCTATTTTTGCTGTTGAGAATTTCCTTTCGGTGGATTTGCTTTTAACTGTACACTGTTAAGGATCTATTTTTGACTAAAATTCTTGCATATTGGACAAATTTCTGTCGGTAGTGTTATCTGTTGGATTGTCAATTCTTGCTCTGGCATGCCTGCGGGCCAGGTATTCATCAATACTGTCTGGTGAGCTGATTTCTTCATTTCTATAAGCAAGATTAAACTGTTCTAATAACATCTTTTCTTCATTTATTATTTATTTAACTTCTGGGGATATTTCAATCTCTAGAGGAGACTTAATGACATGAGGAATTCTTGCTTTAACAAAAATTTACATGTTGATATTATGATCATAGAGTCTGAAACCAGGATTATAGCTTGGGTTAATTTGTCGATAGGCTTTATAGTACACCAGATGGTTAAAGGTAGCTAGTTCTATCTCATTACGAAAGTTATTTACAAAATCAACATGTTGGGTAAGAATTTTGACTTCAGTTGGATCAGAATGAATGTAAATTTGATGTTGTCCCAAAATTATAGCTTCATCCTTTACCCATTCTGGAGAAGTACTATGGATTTGAAGGAGAATTGGACTTTATGGCATAAAATTTTGAGTTAGTTTTTGTTCGAACGCAATGGCTTGGTTTAAACGATTGGGAAAATTACATAAAGAATTTAGATATTCTAAGGGAGTATCCTTGGGTATGATGAAACTATAGATCATTCCTAATTCTAATAACTTGCTTAAGTAACAAATGGTTGATTTGATAGAGAAAAGGGTTTTTCTGGGTACTTCAAAAGGAATAAAGAAAATAGGGTATATATTTAACAAGATAATGGCTATTGGTATGTCAGTGCTTGTTTGTATTAATCGTATGAAAGTATAGTTATAACGGGTGCCTTTGGGTGGACTGTTGTTTCTGAGGTAATTTTGGATATCAACCCATTCCTTGAGCCCATCTGATTTAATTTCTTCAAGAATAAGTTCTTTGATGTTGTCTGGAAAGAGCTCAACTTGTTGTCTCAGGATTCTCTGTAGGTGGGAGAAAACAGGTGTAGTAACTTGGCATACTTGGTTTGTACCAACAGAAATTGAACTTTTTAAAGATTTTCATCTTCATTAGTCCATTGCTCAGAAATAGTTAGTTCTATGAGATTTGCTGTCGTCTTTTGATAAGCTAAATTTAACTTTTTATAATGAGATATAAGCGTCTCATGTTCTTGTTGTAAATTCTGATATGCTTTATTAGATGATACGAAATATTCACTTAAAGTGTTTAGATTTCTAACGAGGGTTCTATCGGGGTTGTTTCTAGAAAACCAAATATTATCTAAAATAAGTTTTTGGTCAGGAAAAAGATCATGTCTAGCGCGGAACTGTTGAGCTGGGTTTTGGATAATTAAAAGAGGATTAGAAGTGCCTGGTATAAGGCTATAGCTATTATTGCTCTTATTCTCCATTCCTGCAAAATTTAACAATCGATTAGTAAACGAGATAGAATATCTGCTAAATAATTATCTTTTCCTCTGACATGTTCAAATATAGGTTTAAAACCTCTTCCAGTAATACAGTCAATAAAGGAAATCCATCTCTTAGCAGACATCCGCTGTTGTTTTGCTTTATTTGCAAATTTAACTATATTATCACAATCTGTTCGTATAAGAAATTCTTTATCATGGAATATCTAAAAATTTTCAATAGAGTTGGTTACCCCTATAATTTCTAGATCTGTTGAGGGTAAAATAGATTGTGCTTTATTAAAAGTTCCACTAGCATGGCGACAAATTTGTTCTTCATCTCGAGAAGATTCTTTTGTTGGTCTTTGAAAAAGTAATCCTGCCCATCCTTGAGCTGATGCATCTGTTTGAATAATTTTATAACTATTTTCAAGTGGGAGTTGTAAAGATTCTAACTGAGAGACTAAAGATTTAATTTTCTTAACTAACTCTATATCTTGGGTATTGAAATACTTTTGACCATGTTTTCTGAGTTTTGAATATAAAGGTCCTACTAGTTGTCCTAATTTTGGAATAAAATTGCGACCATAGTTTAACAATCCTAAAAATGCTTGTAACAACTTAGTTTCTTCTAATTTATCAGGAAAGTCTAGAATCTTTTTGACAATATGGGATTGTAATTCTATTTTTCCATCTTTTATGTATAAACCTAAGAATTCAATATCTTGTTTTTCTAATATTATCTTTTTACTACTTATAATGAGTCCTTGTGTTATAAACTCGTTGAATATAAGTTCAAGATGTTTTCTATGTTCTTCTTTAGTTTGACTGAAGACTAAGATATCGTCGATGTAAACACAACAGAATTTTGAGTGTTTATTAAATATAGTATCCATTTTACGCTGAAATTCTTATGGCGCATTTTTTAATCCAAAAGGCATAACAAACCACTCATAATGTCCTTCAGGACATGTGAACGCTGTCCATTCAATGGATTCATCGGCCATTCGGATTTGCCAAAATCCTGATTTACAGTCAAATTTAGAAAATCATTTTCTATCTTGGATTCGATTTATTAAAAAAAATTTATTAGGGATTTTATAACTATCATCATAGGTATTGTCATTTAATCTTTTATAATTTATAACCATACGAGTCTTTCCTTTTTTTATTTCGGCATGATTTCGAACCATAAAAGCTGGACTCTTATGTCGATTATTACTTTTTCTTATTACTTTTAGTGATAACAGTTCCTTAATTTGTTTTTGGAATTCTTCTTGATCGTCTAAGGTATGAGGATTATCTTGTGTTTTTATAGTTATAAAAGGATTTATTATATTTAATTTTGCTTCAATTTTATTTTTATGCCAGTGTTTCTGGGGGTCTTCACCTAAAATTTCTGTAGTTTCAACTAATCGTATAAGATTATCAATGTTTAGTTTGGGGTTTTTTAATATAGTTTTATTATTAAGAAAAATCTTTGGTTCGTCAAGATGACTAAGAAATATTAAAGCTTCAGAAACGTCTTCTAAAAATTCGTATACATCAAATAAATTTTCTGTCGTTTCTTTTGTCATAGGTAAGGTATTAACATATGTAATGGCTCCTTTATCTTTTTGAGGAATATAAGGATCTCTAGATGGGATAAAGGTTTCTTTCTTAAAAAATTGTAAACCTGTAGGAGTATACATAAATCCTCCCGCAAGTGAGTTTATAAAATTTAATCCTAAGATAAAATCATAGGTGCTAGGAATATTATTAACTACGTAAGTCTAGGGTAAAACAAAATTTTCATTATTAATTAATATAGGAATGTTTTGAACACAATGGGTTATTGGAAGTTTTTCATTATTATACTGGCTCATGTTAACATTATAATTTAACTTTACTAAGGCTTCGTCTGGGACTAAACGTTTTTGAATTATACTTTTAGATGCGCCAGTATCAAGCATAGCTGAGGTTTGAACTAATTTTTTTCTAAATTCTAATGTTACTGGGAATTGAATTGGATTAGATGGTTTATATATTGAGTTTATAGATTCGACTAAAATATTTTCTTGCTTATCTTCATATTTTGTATAGTAATTATGACATAATAAAGTTTTACAATGGTTTTCACAGTAATGACCTTTTTTGATAGATGTATTGCACTGTTTACAATTATAAGAAGAAAATTGAAAACTAACTAAGTTATACTGACATGAGGGATTACTTATAGTGTGAACGAACTCTTCTATTGAATGAAGCCCTTGTTCAAAGTCTTCATCATTATCAAAGTTGCTATATAAGCTCTCGATACTATATATACTTTCATTATCATCGTCAGAGTCATAAATTTTTTCGAGTTCATATAATTCCTCTATTTGTTCTTCAATATCTTCAAGTATGTTGATCTTTTCTTGTATCCTTTTAATAGGATTCTGTTTGTATCTATGAGGGCAATTTGGTCTAATGTGTCCTGGATCTCCACAAATAAAACATTTGTGATGTCTTTCTTTTGTGGGTAAAGTATTTACCTTATTATCCTTGTCTTTGTTATCCTTTTTATCTTTATTTATCTTTTGCTTTTATACTAAGGTCGCTTTCTGAATTGCCTAGGGTTAGTTCTAACATATGGTTTTTTATTACGAAAATTCTTGTAGGTCTTGCTTTTTCGCATATTATATTTTTTAGGTTTATTATGCTTATAATTGTAATTCTTCTAAGGCATACACCCATACTGGGGTGGAAAATCTATTTGTCTACACGTATAATAAAATTGTTTTTTGATTTGTTTAGACTCTTTACGTTGTCGACATTCTGCCTTTAACATGTTCACTACAAGAAAAAATGACTTCTACGATGGGCCAAAAACGCCGTGGAAACCTATTCACGGCGCATTCTAGGCCCTCGTGTATGAGGGTTCCGTAAATAATCAATTTTTTTTACGGGAAAAAATCTATTTCGTAAAAAAATAATAGATTCACCGTAGAAAATGATTTCGTTTATATATATTAAACTTATTTACGGCATGGATATTTTCCCGTTAATAATTAATTTACGAGGCACCCACGCAAGCCGTAGAAAAGTTTTCTACGGCAAATTGTAACTACCGTAAATAATCTTACGAGGTTTCTACGGCGAATCGTAACTGCCTGTAAATAATCTCACGAGGTTCTGACGCGTTGGGTTGATGTAAACGTGACTTGATGTATCCCTAGAATTCTTAGATGACCCCAGAGTTGTATGTTTATCTTCACAGGCTGAAAAAAGGGGGAGACTTGGGTTGCCTCCAGAAGGTCCTGCATCTTTAAAATCTACCACACCTATAATGCAGGAAGAAAAGGTTTGGATATTTGATATCATATTTATTTATTCAAAGATTACAGCAGTCCGATAGAACTTGAATTATTGTAAGTGTTCTCCCATTTTGCAAAACTCGGTGCCAGTTTGGTCTGCTACGTTGCCTTCTATTGCTACAAAAGCAGAGCTCATGAGAGACTGTTTAAGATCTCTCATGCGCAACCACATGGTAAATGATTTTGTTTTGTGTCATGTCATGGTAGCTTGTAGTAGGATAATCATAAGTCTGAAAATATAAACGAATATAGACTGCTTGTTGTTGCTACAGTGACATAGTAGCATAAATTGATATAGAATGATAAAGAGGTAGTCGTAAGTTTTCTGAATATTGAACCTTTTTCTCATTGCAGTATATAATGCTTGTTCTTCTCAGGGAGAGGTTACTTTTGTTGTAACAGTACAACCTTCTTATAACTTTTGTTATGAACATTTTACCTTCATTGCTCATCTGGCATGCTTGTTAGAAATTAAATGGGTGTTCATTTCTATGAATAAATTTAAGCTTATGTGTATACAGAAAATCCTATTTTAGAGGGTGTTAGGATAAAATCACTCAGAATAGGACAATGATCATTAGCAGAAAGGTGCTTTTGATTCAAAGTAAACGTGCAACATCCTTTATTATTTTGCAACTTTGTTTTATATACGTGTTACTTTCTATGAGCCCCCTCCCTCTTTTTTTGTTGGATCTAGGATGATGATGTGAAAGCGAAGAGGGCATTCCAAACTCTTTTGATATATGTCAGAAATGTTGCAAATAATCCTAATGAGGAAAAATTTTGGAAGATCCGACTATATAATCCAGCCTTCAAGGTAAGTCTCTCATTTTATAGATTTTGTTGATAAAAATGATGCAGAAATAATCTGCCCTCTGAAAGGTTCAAATATCCAGTAGGTGGGAAATCTAAGGTTGGTACTAGATGCGAATTTTCTCCAACTTTTTTTCTGACCATTTGGCCAACTCTTAGTTGACAATGTATTTTGGAGTTCCAAAATATAGCAAAAGAAAAAAAAGAGGGATGGATGGATGGATCTCTAATATGGATCTCTAATATGCCCCCAACATTGTGCCTCAATTCAATGGTGAACCCAATATTCCTTCAAGGGAAAGAACAGGGAGGGTCACTAAAATTCTAAAATAATGCATAGATATGGACATATATATGCATGTGTACTGCATATAATTACCATTATCAATAAAAAGTTGTTTCCTTTCTTGGAAAAAATATCACAAAATGTTTCTATTTGTTTAATTTTTTTAAATGCTAAAACCCTGGAAAATATTTTTACATCCAAAAGACCAATAATTGATTTATTTTATCCTAAAAGCTCAATCGTTGAGTTACTGTTAGCATGCACATAAAAAATTTGACAAAAATGTCCCTTCCATGTGTCTACATTTTCAACACATAAGATGCACCATTTAAATGACCCTTTCCTCTTGTGCTGCCTCTGGATACCAATAAAATCTTTAATTTCTAGAAAATCTAATGGGTTTTTCTATTATATGTGTAGATATAACTACACACACGTAAAGATAAACTACCCCACCTGACTAATCCCTTCATTATCTTGTTTTAATCAGTAATAGCTCTGAGAGTCAAACCTACATAGCGTTACCATGCACCAATCGTTGACCCATACATATAAAGGAATACGTATATAACTGCCGACCATCATCCCTAGCTTTTTCCTCAAACCATCATAATTGATGTAGAGTTTGTAAACAGTTTGCTCTCTTAGATTGATAAATTTGAGGATCCATTTAAGCTAATCTAGCTCCTGGCTTGTTCATTATTCATGATGGACAATCAATTGCTTCTGGGACTTTTGGGCAAGTGATTGTTTAATACTTACTGTTGCACCAAGCAGTGACTCTTTACTAAGTTTACGAAGTTCTGCCAAATTAATGGAATTTTCTGTTTCATAACAAACTAATGGATTAATTTGTGTTCTAAATAACAGGAAAGAGTTGGGAAATTGAAAGAAGGTATTGAGTTTCTTGAGCATTGTGGGTTCGAGAGAGATGAAGGAGGTGAATTTTTATTTTTTCCTAGGGACAAGGCTGACATGATGATCTGTGAATTGCCAAGGTGATTACAAATAATCTACCAAAACAAGTGAATTAACAACATATCAACAACTTCTCCTCCACAACAATCAATCAAAACCTCCACATACGATGATCCCATACTCCCATGCCTTCAACATTTTAAAACAAGAAATAAAAAAGGCCTCCACACGGGCCGATGTACCAATAAGGTAATAAAGTTCAAGATACACTGCAAAATTGGTCACTTAAAGGCACGTGACCTCCCTAAGTATGAGTATAAAAAGCATTAAAATTGTGCAATCATAAAAGAAGCATAGTATTTGACCTTTGTTGTAGACTGAAATCATAGAAATTCTGATTCTTCAGCTCCTAATGAACTGGTGATAATCAATCTTGCCAGAAAAAAAAATATTTCAAAAATGTACTTTTATAAGTACACTCCACTACATATAATACTTTGGATCAACTCTATAAAATTAAAGCTTTAACATTTAATTAAACATAATTTTTATGTAGACAATATTAACTTTTATAAGTACACTCCACTACATATAATAACCTGTAAGTCATGTGCATCCATTCTTTATCCATCACTATTTGCTTAATTATTTTGTCTAGTAACCTATCACAAAATATAAAAAAAATTTGCCAAAATTCTAGGAAGAAGAATATATAACTATATTCATGATAATGTGAATAAAGGAAGAATAGGGTCTTTTCAAAGAGTAAGTTGGTAATGAAATAACTCTTCTCTCAGATTGTAGAACAAAAAATTGATATATAGTATAAATCTTATTAGCACTTAACTTTATTAGGTAGTCTATATATGCATTTTGTATTGAAAAGGCAGAAAGGGGTCTTTGCTATGTTTGATCATTCCTGGTAGAAGATATTAAAAATCTGGAGTTCAACAACAATCCCCTATTATACGTTATTAAAGCTTCTCAAATTGCAAGGCAGATTTTTTGAATGTGTCATATTCTCTTGGTGTTCGTTGCAAGACATACTGCAAATGTCTAGTCTTTGAACATTGGCTTGCTAAAGATCATCTGCTTGGTTTAAATGGGAGGGGCTGTTGTGTTTTTCTTCAGCATTTCTATGTGGTTTCGCCTTTCATTTATTATTTCAGCCTATCTTGTCTTTTAACATATTAATAAGCCATGTCTTATTGACGACCAATAATACATCAAGCTTGCATTCAAGCTAGGAAATACTCTAGTCCATATAATTCTATGAAAGAAAATTTTAAATCCTTTTCATGGTCATTGGCCAACTGCGAACATAATTAAAAGACAAGGGCTATAATGATAGAGGAAAAGGAGGAACCAAAAGCAAATCCGGGAAGATAACTTAATTTCTTTTAGCAACAATGATATATATCTCTTGGATGATCCATTCAGCGCTGTTGATGCACACATCGCAAGCAGTTTATTTAATGTAACTACAATCCTCATCTCACCAATTTATACTACAGCCACATTTGTTTTTAAGTTGAAAGCTAATTAATACATGTTATGGTCAGGAATATGTCATGGGAGCTCTGGCAGGAAAGACAGTATTACTTGTGACTAACCAAGCTCACTTCCTTTCTACATTTGATTTTATATTGGTAAGTAATTTAATCATTACCACTCTCCATTATCCTTCTGCAACAGTAATTCTTTTATATTCAAAAGTATAGCAAACTTCCATTTCCTTTATACGTGTTTCCAATAATTTGATACCTAAACCCGTGTCCAGAATCAGTTCTTCTAAGCAAGAATTTGAAAAGAAAATAATATCATTATGTTGAAAGTTGATATCTGAAGGGAAAATCCTGGAAGCGGCTACCTATTATCAGTTGTTGGCTTCTAGTCAAGAATTTCAGAACCTTGTGAATGCTCACATTCACACTGCAAGTTCCAAGAGAAACACTCAATACAGTACTTCTCAAAGGCCTAAAACCCTCAAAGAAGAGATCCAGAAAGTTTACACTCAGGAACAGTTGGACACAATGTAGGAGATCAGTTAATTAAGTAAGAGGAAAGAGAAAAATGAGATACTGGTCTGAAGCCTTACAATATCTGAGACACAACAAGGGATTCTTGTACCTCTCCCTGGCAGTTATAGCCCACATTATATATATTGTTGGACAGTTTGCTCAAAATCTTTGTTTGGCTGCTGAGGTATAGGATCCTAGTACAAGCAGATTGAAGCTAGAAAGTTTCAATCGCTATTTGTTTTCTGCTTCCTTACATCGGGAACTAAGCAAAGGAGTGTGTTGCAATTAAACTTTTGTTTTCTTATATTTTCCTGTTGTTTTAGATGATATTGCATGCGCTTTGATACGCCCAAATATGTCATTATCCAAGATTTCTAGAAAAACCAATTTTTTGCCTTACTTCAACAAAACTCTACATCATGTTCTTTACAAATCAAGGTAATGCACATTCATAAATGTCAATATAGAAATTTCCATTTCAATATGCTTTCAATAATATGTGTGTCTCTATTTAGTACCCATGTGTATATGTATGTGTATGTTATAATTTAAGAGCTTTTTTTGTGTGTATGATATGAGTCTCTATTTACTATCCATGTGTATATATGTACATGTGTATATATGTATGTGTATGTTATAATTTAAGAGCCTTTTTTTGTCTCCTGAATTGGTACATGTAGATGAAACTATTGTTCTTGATGTAGGAACTTAACTGAAGCTCTATGGATGAATTGTAATTCTCTTGGAATTAATAGTACTAGATATGGGATTACAAGACGTGAATTTAGTATGGGGTAGCTTGATAAGCCTGGTCGATATTCATCTTTAAGAACTTGGTGTTTGAGGAGGTCATATTCTTTGCTTGATTTTCAACACCAATATGCTACTCATGCAGCTACTGAAAAGAAATCACAGAAGATGCTTTTGTACCTAACAGGATTGGTATTCGCAATGGTGGGGTGCACTTATGCAGCGGTTCCTCTATATAGGAGGTTCTGCCAAGCTACTGGGTATGGGGGTACTGTTCAATGCCGTGAGGTGAGGCAATCTCTATAAGTTTTGTCATTTTGGTAGTTAATTTCTTTTCCCAACCTTTTTCTGAGCAATAAAACCAAAGCATATTGTTTTTAGAGTGTTGAAGAAAAGATATCTCGGCATACTCAAGATGGAACAATCACCACCAGGTATGTTTTTAAAATTTTACTTCTTAAATAAGACAGTTTTATATTGTTTCCATTATTCAAAGCATGAATTCTCCAGCATTGATTCGAATTAAATCTCTAGACTGAAAATATTTATTTCGGTTTGTTTATGATTATTTTAATGAAAACTTTTGCACTTATGAATCACTGATTTTCAAGGTAGCATATCTCTATTCTTTGGAATGATTCTCTTACAGTAGGTGGAACAAAAGTGCTTTTGATGTTCCAATCAGTGAAAGAGCTTAGTAATTCTGTTTAGGAGGGAAAGTGGAAATAAGTGGAGGGATTCAAGGGAAGAAAAATACAAGCTGGGATTAGAACAATAATCCCTCATTTGGGAGTTCTTTATGGAAAGAAAACAAGAGAAATGGGAGGAAATGAACACCTCTGGCCTATCAATTTTTGTTTTCCCCCATCTCCAAAGATTGGTAGAAATGGAAGGAAAGTAAACTGAATTAGTAATTACCCATTTTATTCCTTGTTCTAGAAGAAGTGAGTTCCTATTTTATCCTTTATTTTAACAAAAGAAAATGTTCTTTTCTTTCTTTTATGTTCTTTTCTTTCTTTTATTTTCTCTTCTTATAAATTCTTAATCAAGGAAATTGATCATCATCTTTTCTTCCTTCTTTTTCTCTTATGAAATTACCAAATAAAGGGAGGGTTATCACCTTCTCATCCCTTCTTAGCTCACGTACAATCGGGAGCTTTTAGAAGTGAATTGAAACAAACAAGACATGAGTACTCTTTGGAAGTCAGTCTCGAGCAGTTGCTCAAAATCTGATACATCAACCATATCACTCCATCATAATCGTACAGTAAAGCTCAAAATTAAGCTCATTTTAAACCAGCAAATTGGAGTGAGGTGACTAGTTTCAGGAGTATGCATTGGTTCTTTATATCCTAGATTATAATTAGTTTGGTTATCCTTCATTTTTAGAAACATCTAACAAGACCTTGATTAAGGTAATGTATTTTGTTGATTCTTCTTGTAGATGTCTTGTTTTGATGTATTCTTGGTATTATTTATACAGGGATATTGTGGTGCAGTTCAATGCTAACGTGGCAGATGGAATGCCTTGGAAGTTTATTCCCACACAATGAGAGGTCCTCTTTCTCCTGTTACACATCTTATTTTAACATATACATATATGTATGTGAGTCTACGCACGCACATATATGTACAGAAAGCTGTAAATGAATGTAGTCATGGTGAATCACAGGATTCTTAAGCTCACCTCAAAAAATTAATGAGCTCAAACTCATAGATAGTCTCAAGGTAGTTTTGATGGAGACAACCCTGGTTCAAGTTCAAGCAGATTGGCTTTTCATTTAGTTTATAGAGTGCTTTTAGCTTACTGAACGTAGCTCAAGTTCATCTCAATAAATTGATTAGCCTTTGGCTGGTTATCTCATGAGTGAATCTAGTTGAGAAGATTATGAGCCAAGCTTGAGTAGTTTGGTTCATCTTACAACCCTTTAAATTTCTGAAAATATATTTATTCATTTATTTATTTATACAAATCCCTCAAGTGCTCTATGTTGTAATAGGCATTGTATTTTAAAACCATTGATTCTATTGTAGGTAAAGGTGAAGCCGGGAGAAAGTGCCCTTGCATTTTATAACTTCCTTTGATTCATAACTTCAGAACAGAACTAATGTGGGCTATAACTTCCTTTCTACATTTGATTCTATTTTGGTAAGTAATTTAATCATTACCACTCTCCATTATCCTTCTGCAATAAAAATAAACAAATGCTCACATGCTGAATCATTTAAAAAATGGAACACAACAACAGCTTAAAAACAAAGAGCTAATCAAGGGACCAGGAGCATTAAAAAAAAAAAAACTATTGCAATGATAAATGAATAAAAATGACAAGAACTTCCACCACCCACTTACAATTTACAATTTGTTTTAATTAGTAAATGGTACTTCAAATTACAATTGATCTTGTTTTTGGTTTTAATATTTTGGTTACGTGTTGGATTAATAAAAAAAATAAAAAATAAATAAATAGATTACAAAAATGTTGTACCTGGCACTTAATGAAGGGGTTGGTTCTCCCTTCTTGTAACAAAAGCTAGTTCAGGCCAATAAATACAGCAACACCCACAAAGGCTACTTCTTTTCTTCCTCAGAGACTGTAAAGAAAACAAAAACCAATCGGATTTCATAAGTTTGCTTCGGAGAGAGAAACTGAGCAAAAAAAGGCAACACTCCTGTTGCATACCAGAATCGGATGTAACTAATATGATTTATTTTCAAAGTGGGAAGGCTCATATGAAAACAAAAACTCGAATAACATTCTGATTCCTGTAGAACGATTGAAAGGATGAAAGTAACAGAGAGGCAAGTCTAACAAGGTACGTACCGTCGTCCATGGTGGCTCTCCTCAACTTCAATTTTTGGTCGCTAGTTGAAAACCCTAACCTCTTCGCTGGTCGGTAACGGAATGATCGACACCGTCGGGAGCCCAATCTGAGAAAGACGAGTTTAGGAAATCAAGCTTTCTTTCCTCAAATTACTGGCATCAACACGGTTGAAATCGATAGATGAGAGATTCGGCTCTCTCTCTTTCCACACTCTGAATCCATAAGTTCTTTTTCTTTTCTTTTCTTTTTTTTTTTTTTTTTTTTTTTTTTTTTTCTGGTATATATAGCTGTTCGATATAACTAAAAAACAAAAAATAAACAAATAAAAATAAAAAATAAACCGGGAAGTGAAAGTTTTCGGTGGGGAGTGAAATATTTTTGGCGGGAAGTGAAAAAAAAATTATTGCTTATCTACGGCACAAAAAAGATGCCTTAAATGTGAAATTTATTCACGGGCTTTTTAATCTACTGCAAAAAAAAACTTAAGTTCACTTTTTCATTTTCCTGTATATATATTTTTTAACTGATTTTATTAATAGTTGCTTATTTAAATTTTTGCGAGGAAGTTAAAAACAATTTTATTGCTTATTTACGGGGCAAAAAAGATGCCTTAAATGTGAAATTTATTCACGGGCTCTTTAATCCACCGTAAAAGAACTTAAGTTCATTATATATATATGTGTTAAGTGATTTTATTAGTTGCTTATTTACAGGGCAAAAAAAATGCCTTAAATGTGAAATTGATTCACGGGGAACTTTTATCCCGTTAAAGATATACAAATAGGCCGTAAATATATCTAAATATTCACGAGCTCTTTAATACGCCGTAAAAATATTTTTCTACGAGGATTCTACTAAATCCTCGTGAAAGCATGTCCTATAATGTAACAATTACGAGGATTCTTTCATAAACTCCGTAAATGATAGTAATCACGAGGCAAAATAAAGAAGCCTCGTAAATACCATGTCGTAGAAGCCCACATTTCTTGTAGTGGTTATACACATGATTAACTCTATCTTCTATGGTTAGCGTATCTTGTTTAGGGTTTTCTACCAATTTTTCCCATATTTTAGTTCCTACGCTTCCGGGTAATTTCTGAAGATATCGATCAAGTAATGTTTTATCACCTGTTTTACCAGTGGCTGCAAAATACTCAAAAAATTTATTGGTATAGTTTTTTATGTATCTAAAATCACATATCTATAGTAATTCTAAATTACGTAAAGCTTCGTTTTGTTTTATTAAGGTGTCATCTAATAATCTATCTTCACCAATTAATACTTTTTTAATGAGCTTGTAAAGCCTTGAATGGTAAAATTATCATGTAAGATGGCATAATCATTTGGATAAATTACTTTATAAGCCTGCCACCAGTCACAATAGGTTAAGGCTTGAGTTCTATTGTCAAAATTGGTCAAAATAGATTACCTAATACAATCTTGTTCCCAATTTTCAATTACCCTTGCCCAGTCTTGGGGATCGTGCCTTGATATGTCTAATATTGTTCTTGATGATTGCGCTGGTATATTTTCATATTGTCTACAATATTGTGTTAAGGTGTACATATCTGGTATATTTCTATTTTCTACATAAGTTTCTCGTGAGGGATTTAATCTTTGTCCAGTAGTAAAGTCATCACTTAAGGTATTACTACCTGAGGTGTTAGTCTTTCTTTGGTCACTCATTTCTTGGTCGATTGAGTGAGATTCTAATGCTTCTGGTGCTTTTCCTTCTCTATGCTCTATTATATATAACTCTTCTTTTACTGTGTTTAATTCTAATGCTATATAGAAGGATTCAAATCCGACACTTATAATATTTTTCTTAATATCATCATTATTTTCTTGTTCTAAATAAATACTCTCGATAAGTTGGTATTTAGGTTCTGGATACTTGTCTTGCAATGATTCTAATTCTATATTATCAAAATCGTACATTATTTTATCTAGAATTTCGTCTTCTAATCTATCATAAAGGACATTTATTTCTTCTGGAGATTCGATCTCTATTAGTGTAGTTAAAAAGTCTTCTTGAGTATCATCAACTAAATTGTCTTGTCTTTTATAATTACTAAACCTTATGCTAGCATCTCCGCTATTTGAAACATGTATCATATTATTTTCGGAAATCTTTTTAGGTGTAGTAGTAAGTTTAGGTAATTTCCATTCTGTTCCTTCATGGGTAATACTGCTTACTTTTCTGGCTTCTATCATCTGGACATATTTGCTGCTAAAAGGTTTAACTATTTCACTAAATTGGGCTTTAAACTTTAAGTTATACTGATTAACTGTCTTTCCTATGAATAAAGTATTAGCCAATAGATTTTCAAATTGTTCGGTCATATTATATCCTTTTATAGATCTACTTATCTTAATATGTTTATTGAATTCTCTAGTAATCATTATATAATTGGGAATACATCCTACTATTGTGGCATTGTCGGCTAAGTCTATTTTGGTGCTGGCTATTTGTGCTTGTTGATGATTATTCCATCGGTCATCATAAAATATAAGCAAGCGCTCTAGTTCCGATTTCTGCTCTGTTTAATCTTACTAATCCTATCATTATGACACCTACATGCATAAGTTCTAAATTATTATTATTTAGTTCTTGGCATGCTTCGGGTGTTATAAGGTCTAAAATTACTTGATTGTTAATTGCACTTATTTTTCTTTGGCTAAAATGATTATATATCTTATTCTGAAAATTTAATAAATTATTAGAATAAAGATTAATTTTATTTTTTACCTTCTTCATTCCTTGTTCTATATATTTTTTAGCATCATGTTCATTATCATATAAATCTTCTACTCTCATTATTTCTTTGGCTTTTCTAAGGATAATGGCCATTGTGGTATTTGCTTATGAGGTTGAAGTTGTAATAAATTTATACGCTTGGCTGTTGTAGGAGAGGATTGGTTATTGACTGACAATTTTATTTCTTTTATTTTATCTGATAATTCAGATAATTCTTTTGAAGATTCTCTGGGAATACTTTCTTGTATTACTTCTAATTTCTCTTCAAGTTTATTAACTTTATCAGATAACTGGAGTAATAACTGAATTAAAAAGTTATTTTGTCTAATATGTATATTAGTTGACTGTACATCTGTCTTAAAGCTAGTAAATCTTATAAATTCTTTATCAATTTTGTAAAGTTCAGCTAACGCGGTTAAATATTTAGGACTACTGGTGCTCATAAAACTATTGTAATAATTTTTGGATATCGGTTTTAAGGGATTTTAAAGAGTCTAGGATTATTTTTTGGTTTTCAGCAATATTCTTAATATCACTATTGATATCTTTAATTGCGACTAATATTATCTTGTTATCTAAATTATTTGGACTAGAATTCTATATTACTTGTTCTTTAATATAATCTAAATTTTCTCCTAATCGTTTTATAGAAGTATTTAAATTATTAAAGTCAAGTCTATTCATAAACTAAAATCGTTGACGTCTAGCTTTTAAAATATCTTGTATTAATATAATTCTAGATCTGAGTTTTTCAATTCTTCTTTGTAGATTACGTGTTGTGTCTTCTAATTCTAGAGTTATGTGGCAGTTCCTAAGTGCTGTTTGACAAAATTCTAATACTTGAACAAGTTGTTCTTTGGGTAAATTGTGCATAAATTAAATTCTTAGGGGTGAAAATATAAATTCTGCTTAATAAAGGGCTAAAATAGAACTTAGTTCATGTACTTGTAAATATGTAAACTACGTTTGGCTATGGGTAATATACCTACACTAAGACCACTTTATTGTAAAAGTCCCTTTTTTTTTAATTTGATTAGATTATATAATTGTAATTAATTTATTAGAGACGTTGGAGTTCAACCTTTCTAAACCAAAAAAAAAAAAAAAAAAATTGAATAATTTTTTATTTTTTAATTGCACAAATTTTTGTCTTCTATTAAACATTATGTATACCACTCCCAAAACGTCTCTAATAAAAATTTTCTTTTCTTTCTAAAAGTATGACAAGAATGTTAAGAAATAGGGGTTATCGGTAGGGGCGGAGTCAATTAGGGCCTAAAAAGGGCACGTGTCCCCTGCCCTTGCTCTAACATACTACTATACATGTATATTTATTTGCTATATATATATGGTAATTTTAAATGGTGCCCCCCTAAAATTTTCAAATTCTTCTAATTTTTATTTATTTATTTATTTTTTAAAAAAGGTGTTACATATATCCCCATTCCTTAAGTATACCATATATTTTTCCTTTTCTAATTGTTCTTTCATTTTCCAAATTTTTCTTTTTTCACTTATGTATAATTATGTATTTTTCTATGTTTTCCACTTCTTTCTTTTTATTAATGACATTTGTGATTGTATTTAATTAAAATATTATTAATTAATATTTTGATTATGTTTTTTTTACCACTTATTTAGCATATTATTTTACAACTATTTTTTTCCTTGTTTACCTTTTAATTTAAAATAAAAAAAATTATATTTGTCATATTTGTTGATTTTTTGTTCTTCAATAAGTGCATTGTCCCCTCTGAAATAAAAAAAAATTATATTTGTCATATTTGTTGATTTTTTGTTCTTCAATAAGTGCATTGTCCCCTCTGAAATAAAATACTGGTCCCGCCCTGGTTATACGGATAGAAAAATGTGAAGATTAGAACACATGAAGCAACCGAACCACTCAGATAACACAATACTTATCACAAATAGTGATATGACATTGAGAATTTAACAAGAGACTCAAATAATAGCTAGCCAATTATTAAATGTGTCTTAAAAATTAAGAAATTATTCTTAATATTGTTGCACAAAATTTTTGTATACTATATACATTTGTATGTCACTACCCACTAAAACAAAAAAAAATTTGAAAGTGTATATATATTTATATATATATTATATTAAACGACTCAAAATGATTTAAATTTCCATGGAAGGATTTTATATGATTCTTGATTTATGTACTATAATATGTACTCATAATTAATTAGTACAGCAAGTTCAAACTGGATGCATTGCTTTAATGCTATGCATCCCATTTTTGTGAAGGAGTGATATTCTGACAATCGAGTGGATCCATAACTATTTCCCGAGCTACCATTAAAAGAACAGCCAGCTCAATGAGTTTGCCGCCCTTGGCAAAATAACGAACTACCTCCTTGAACTCCTCAGTACTATACTAAAGTAACCTATTAGTCTCCAACGCTTCTTTCTGCCACAGGTGTAAAGCAAACAATTCAAGAGTAAGCAACCCTTTCAAA